AGTTTTTCTGAAAAGGTTTTCTTTCTTCTGATCTCATTTGAATAGGTTTCTTTCAGTCTGTAAGTTGGGTTTCACCAAAAGCTGGCAGTCGGTTACACTAGCACATGAGTTCATTCAAAGAATGCTCAATCCTTGTGATCTGATATTCTTTCGATTCAACACCTAATTCCTATTTACTGTTTTCGTTTCTTCCTCCTGTTGTCTCCGTACAAATATAAGCCACTAATATACCAGATTGTACGATGATATATTCAAATGATTGTTAAATACATCCCTCAGTATGCATTGTCTGTTCTTATATTGACTTCATTTTAAAACTAAGTATATCATTGAATATTATGTAATTCAGAATCGAATAAAGCAACCTATAATACTCTGAAGTACTGACAGTTGTTTAGGTGAGAACTGAACAATATTCTTTCTTTAGATTTTTTAAATAATTCACTTGTGTTGACATATTATCATTAACACAACTTGATGATTGATTTGTTATGTAGAATAACTATCTAACTAGAACAACCAACATTTGGGAGAATTTCTGACATCACTTATTGCTTATTATTAAGCTTTGCTTTTAATTACCAGCAGTTTATGTGGTTATTTTTTCGAAATACTTACTATGTATCCATTCATAGCTGAGTGAAAGAATATACACATGTGGTGGTTACTCCTAAAGCTATGAAATCGGTTGGGCGGACAGCTTTCTTTCAACTCTAATCATCATCCCACTCATACGTCTCGCTAAGTTGTGGATAGGGTTAAATACTCAATCAGAGACGTCAAAAAATAAGCAACTAATGATGTAGCCAATACATTACAAACTGTTTAGAATCGACCAATGGGAAAATACAGCGGAAGTATGCACAACGCCTGTGATTCGCAAGTACACTACAAGAAGCGTTTAAACTTCATTTTTCATAGTATATATAACCACCATTAGGTTGAAATACGTATTATCTTGAGAAGAGGTGTTATGATAAATTATTGCAGTTAACCAACAAAGGCTATTCTAAATGTTCTAATTAATTAACTCCAACAATATGATTATTCATGGAACTTTTAAACACCAAGAGCTAAATCATTGTTTAGATAATCGTACATTTTAAGTCAAATATTGATTTAACCTCAGTGGTTGAAGTACCATTTAGCAGGTATTGAAATGATCTGAGTCTATCTGATTACTGCGAAATGTATTGTTATGTAACTTCTCCTAAGCGAAATATCCTCTCATTAACGCTTACTTACTCAGAATTTCTCATCAAAATCGCACTGATCAGTCAGAAATCGATAACTTGAAGCATGTGAATCATCTTTAGAATGAAAAACAATAACAATCTCTGAAAATCTACTTACAGAGTCTCTGACGGCCTACAAAGTGCTTACAGGAATGTCCTAATATTCTCGCTGATTATATTCTAACAGTACTTCTGACAACCAACAGTGAGGTTAACGGCATCATTTCTTGGTGTATCTAAGAAGTTTGTACTCCATCATAATTTGATAATTCTATCTTTTGAAAGAAGCTTGATAAAAGTAAGATATGTTCATTAGCTTTTACTGGTATGATATAGGGGACCACTGGCCATGCACTGAATACACTCGAAGTTCGAATTAAATAGATTTTAGATGACAGAATAAGTGGCCAGCAAAAGTGATCACTCAATAAAATGAAATGCTTACTTATGTACAAATCACTGAAAGATACTCTACTTATCAAAGAACAAATTTAGGTAACTAAATGACCAATTAGTATGGGCATAAACCAACCTAATTTCCCAGCGGAAATTAAAATTAAGACAAATGTAAGACAACACCAAAATTCTCATCATTCAATAACTTTATTACCTGGATCTTGAGGCTTTGAATCTTGTTTCGTAGTTTTTTCATTCACTGGCAAAGATTTACAATCACTAATCATTTGAAAAAAGAATGATAACTCAATATGCGGCAATATTACATTACTCCTATTTTCTTACACAGTTTATTCAATTTATCCTGTAAGATAGTTAGTGGATATGTAAAAGTAACATTGATGAAAATAAGTACATACAGTCAATGTGGAGACTTTTGCCAATAGTTGATTCCTGAGTGATTCCAGTTTTGGATTTCTATTCGTTGTATCTTTGTCCTGTACTCATTATTATTAACATTATTTAAATTTAAGCATATACAATATTCGAAATGTTACCTGTTCAATCTGTCTGACTGTATCACTAATTTTGTTCAATTCCTTCATGAATTGTGTTGCTCTTTAAAAAGTATGTATTTGTGAGATAATTTAAACAAAAAGCTTACTTCTCATTAAAATTTTCTACTTGCTCACTTGTTGGCTTTTTGTGACTGTTAACAAAACTGATAAATCGTTTAATCTTGAAAAGAATATCATTGTGATCTATATGGAAGTATTTACTTGTGGTGAAATTTGCTCTAATTGATAGGAGCTCATTTCAAGTTGTTTGCTACTTTCTACCATTTCTGCAGTTTGAAAAAAGAGTTAATAAGCTCATTAAAACTTTTCATGTAAGAATGGAAGATTAGGTGAGATTTGAGATTTTAGTGTCCCATGCATAAAATTTCAATTTTTCAACTATTTTACTCAGTTTTTTTTTGAGAACTTTTCAATATTGCCAATAAACTACACTCATGATAAGTCTCCAGATTTATTAAGTCAAACTCCGGAAGATAAGTGGATAATACTACTCAAAACTACACTTCTTAACATCTCCATGTTTACCTGCAGCACAAAAAAAGAAAACGGATAAATGAATATCAAAATAAACAAGAAAAACCCACTACATTGGAGGGAATGTAAGTCAAGATTGAGAAAAAAATAAACAACAAGTGTATATATGCTAATATCATCGATTCTGAATTCTAACGGTGAGGTGTATAATAGTTGATTTAGGAAATTTCACAGGTTCCATTTGCACAATAACCTTTCAAATCAAATTGTACTATTTGGCACCACATATAGCAAACGATATCATAAGTAGTAATTTTCCCTTATGCTATGAAAAAATTTCGAGATAAAATAATGATACAAATTTTAGGGGTTGTTTTGCTTGTGTGTGGGAAAAAACACCATAAATATAATGTCTGATGTCGTTCACCGTGATGGATACTTCCATTGAGAGGTTGAATCGTTACACAATTGCATGATGCAAGCTGACGTAGCATCGTCACCACAGAAGACTTAAGATAATTTTTAGATTCCAATCCAAAGATAGATTTTGAAACAACATTTCAAACCAAATTGATATTTCATTCAATTTTGGTTGTCTTGCTATCATTATTTGACCTTACTTCGTACTGATGTGTTAAGTTGTCCTATCAAATACCTACAGAAACAGAGACATTTTATTGCATAATATTATCTTGATGACTATGCATGATGTTATCAGGAACACAAACCGCAGCGCCAATCAGAACAACTTAAATCCTTAGTAGTTTGAACAACAGTGCAAGTGGGAACATTAGGTAAAGTTAGAATGAAACAAGCGACTTAAGAAAATAAAAATCAAATGAATGCAATATTTATCGTCGGGTTACTGAGAAATAATACCTTTTACGGTCATATTAAGAGATATTTTCTTGCAAGGCATTGCCACAGTATGTCAGTTAAAATGTACCATGTTCTGTCGTCTATTGTGACTTACAGTACGATGGCAGCTGACAACAGTGTAGTTAAATCAGTCCACCAGACAGAAACAGCCGGAATACTCCAGGTAAGTGCAGAAAAAAGCGGAACACAGTTCTTGACAGAAAGCTTTTATTGTCTCAGCAGTCGATAGAAATACTTAAAAGTATTTACACATCAATGCACGGAATATGAATTCGTTTAAAATTGAGAACACAAAAGTATTAAATGTAAGATAACCAATAAGGAGACAGTCTTTAGAAGAGTGAGAGAAGTGATTTACTGGCAGTGATGAGAAACGGTGGATTTAAATTTGTAAAATAGGAAGTATATCAGTGATGCAAATATTTGGGCTGCTTAAGAACACAATTATTCTTTCACTACGACCCAATTCAACTCAGATCAGATTAAGTTGAGTTTTGTATACAAAGTTGTAGTGTGTTTTACAATCACAAAATACATTTAGGCTTGAAATACTTACTCCATTTTAGTTAACTGATTAGTAGTATCATGCTATGAAACAGTATTCTTTACTTGATTACGCTTTGGACAAACTTTATTGTCCACAGTTACATCATAGTCCACAGTCATCTTGATATGACTGTGGATAATAAACTGTGTCCGAATGTAATCCAGTAAACAATACTCGTCCACTGTGTGATACTTCTAATAAATCAACTGAAATGGAATTTCATTCTACCAATGTGATCAAGTTTTACTTTTATGCTGAACGTATGTTAGTCAATAAAAGGAGAACAAGGCGTTTACGCAGTAAATGGCAAACTAAAAAATAAACTCCTTCTTGATGCTCCAATTGCCAGTATCCACCATATTCCCTCGGTCAGCAGTCTGCATTTGATAGTAAAACATCAGCTGTAGTGAAAAATTCTCGGTAAAAAACACTAGTATTTTGGTAATTTACTTATTTACGGCTAGCAGAGGAATGCATTATTCGCGTTTCGTTTTATTTGATACTCATCAGTTGGATGTACCTGGACGCCAGTGAGTCTTGTTCCCACTGCGATTCAAACCTCGTACTCATCGCTTTAAGAGCAAAATCATCATAATAACTATTCAAGCGATGTCGAGGCATCTGCATAGGAGCCCATATGCCAAAAGAAGTCGAAAAATTCGATCCAGTATAACAATGGAGAATTACAAGAATATCAACAAATAGTAATACTTGTATTTTCCTAGTTCACTATAGTCTTCTCAGTGGGTTCCTCACCAGAGGCAATAAACAGAAAATAGCACGCAGTATACACAAGATGTTCAATCTATCTCAACATTTTGAATCTATTAGGAACTCGCATTAAAGTTGAAAAAGCTGTATCGAACCTGATACAGTGCAAAGCAGTAGGACCTGACAGCTTGCCACCCGAGTTTTGAAAGAATCGATGTAAGAAAATGATAATCGAAGTGACGGGTGTACTAGGCAGTGTATGGAATTTAGAGTTAGTGCCATCAGGGTGCTGTGCTTCACTGATTATCCCAGTCTACATGGAAGAAGAGGGAGAGAAGCTTTCCAACCATCTGGGAATTAGTTTGACTAGTATTGCGTCTGCAATACTGGGATCGATAGTTATCCGACGTCTAGCTGGAAAACAGAAAACCCGATAACTCTGGAAAGGCTTCATACACAGCTGGACAACAGTACATCGATCATATCGTTACCCTGCAACAGGTTCTGGAATACAGGCATACCTACCAGTCAGTGACTGACACTTCTCATATTTGTTGATCTGAAGTAGACATTTGACTCTGTCTACGCGAGATATTGTGGGAGTGTCCGGCTATGAGGGAAGTATCACGCAAGTGTATAACGCTAATCAAAGCTCTCTACTCGAATTCAGACAGTCGTGTAAGGGCTTATGAAGAGTTCTCATCGAAATTGACGACAAACAGTGGTGTCCGCCAGGGGTGTCCACTGTTATCGTCCCTATTGGACTTCCTCATAGCCGTAGTAATGGACATAACCTTAGGTACGACTGAGTTAACAGGGACTGGCCTATTTCCTGGAGGCCATCTTATTGGTTTAGAATATGCAGACGACATAGTCCTTCTAGTTGAAGATACTGACAAAATGCAAAGCCTTCTAGACGCATTGAGCAGAAATTTGAGTATGTTTAGTATGAGTCTCACATGCCTCTGTTGAATGTAGGATAGTGCTCCAGGACTGATGTGATGCAACCACTCCCAGTTTAGTGATATGGAGTGAAGTGGTGGAATGTGTCGACCACTTCACTTACTTGGGGAGTTGCACCAGCTCAAATGGTCTGCTCACCGACAAAATCACAATCGGACACAAAAGACCCGCTGGCATCTGCCAAATAGCGTCACCTGTGTCGCCAGCAAAATATCTGACTATATTTTAAAGGATGAGTATACTTCACTGCCTTGCATTCTGTCCTGTTGTTCGGCTGAGAGATGTGGATGTTGAAAGTAGCAGACATAAAGTGGCTACAAGGTTTTGATCATAGGCGTCTTAGTAGCACTGCTAGCGTTTGGTGAATCACCGTGTGAGAAATGTTGAGGTCAGGCGATAATTACTAGTCAAGATAGGCAAGTCGGTCGATGACGCTATGAAACCTCAACAAATGACTGTGCAGTGTTAATTGAAGAAGAGTTAGGTTGACCAGTCGATGAAGTCTCTCACCGTTGGTCAGAGCTATGTGTGGAGACGTAGACTGGCTAGGGTCCCCGAGACGACAGGAATCAGTGGTTGAGGTCTCTTGGTGACATGGCTGAAAATCGGTGAAGGTGGGGCAGATGTATTCACTTCTTGAAATCTTCTGAAGCTTGAATATTCAAACTCACCTTTATCTTGAAACTGCTTGCTCTCTCACACAGAATTGTTCTACTTTCAAATTTCACTTTTTCTATCCACCTGTTCTTTTTGTACTACTGTGAAGTGTGACAACTTGAGCCTATGCATTTGCGTACGACATTTCATGTTGATTTAGTCAGTCAGCTTTCAGTCAGTCAATGAAAAGTTTGCCCACTATGGAATAAATTGATTTATTATGAATAAAATGAAAACCTATCATTAGGTGTTAACTTTTCTTTGAAAATGTAGCTATGATACATTAATTCCAGCATGTTTAGAAAATCAAAATTTTTCTGAATGTTTCGTGGCGTGTATCATAGTTTCGGTGCTCAAATTCTTCCAGGAAATTCGTAACAACTACAGACTGGATATTTATTATATTACTTAGAGATAGATGCGTGTAAATGATTGCTATTTATTGACGTGAAGTCAAACTGAGTAGAAAAACGAAAAGAAAATCAAAAAATGCCTGTCTTTCCTTAAAAACTATCTTTACTGAGAATTTCGAGAAAGCTTACTGTACCTGTGATCAAGAGAATCGCTTATCTTTTAAGGAAATGATCAATTTTACTTCTTTTAGTGGGTTGGCAAAAGTGGGTGGTCTGTTGCTTTAGTGACCTCTCTATTGCAAAAAGACGAACTGACAAGCAGAACAAGATTAACTCTATGGGTTTTCAGATAAACTCGTTTCGAGATAAAGAGGGGATATCACATCTTCAGGTAACGGGTACCTAGGTCATGTTCTCCACATCTTAATCATTAACGTCTAACACAGTGAATCAACAGATATGTTTCTCTACGTCATGCAGGACATTTACTTATGCGACAGCAGTCACTATTGAGGTTGACTTCAAGAGGTTGAATAGTTTATAGGGAATGAGCAGTTTTTTTAACTAAATCACCGGTATCCATCAAAAGTTTCACAAACGCTATTAGAGACCGGCAACTACGTCAATGCCAGCCGGTTGACACCAAAATGAACCCTCACTAATGTGCAGATGTAAAAGAAAAGTGGTGGTAAATGAACAGAGAGTTGGTAACAGAACTGTCAGATAT